AATCTGAAATGAGGTTTCGAACGGCAGGTACACTTTCCAGCGTTATATCGGACAGGCTGGGGTATGCATCATCCTCGAGAACGTCTGCATCAGTGAGATCCAGTTCTTTTCTGTTCTGTCGAACTCCCCGGTAAGGAAAGTCTAGAAGATGACGCCAGCACCTGCTACAATTAGCAAAAAGAAATGCCGAGCAAAGGAATCAGTCTCACACAGGAAGCACTTGAACACGGCAATTTTTATCGTTGTCTGGGAGCGCTGAGTTCAACGCTTGGAGGTCAGGCGAACCTCTGTAGACAGTTTTCAGAGTTTTGCGGAGCACATTTACATCATGTATGAAATTGATGCTTTCCAGTCGTAAACCGAGTCGCTGGCCAATTCCATGGGTGACAAGAACTAGATGATCGACCTCACGGTCTCTGTCCGCGCCGTCCAGTTCCCTCGACTCTTCCATTTCCTGTTCCTCCTGCCTACGAGCCTGTTCTTCAAGGTCAGCTGGATTTTGCGGCTCGCCTGCAAGGGATGACATTTGGCGTTCTAATGTTGATTTCGGTCTACTTTCGTAGTTCTCAAATCCATCAGCGGAGGCTGACTTGAGGGTATCTGTGGCTTTTTCTGTCTTTTCTTTTAAGACATCATTCAAACCTCTGTCCAGTGTGGATTCGCCCAGTGGTTTTTGTTTGGGACCCTTTGATTCTGGTGTCTCTTTTGGTTTCTTAGGCTCGAACCCGCGAACCAACTTCGTCCCCGGGACACCCCCTAGCTTTTGATACACCGAAGTACTGAAACGTGACATGAAATCATCGTTCATCAGCCAGGCCGTCGTGGAATCTTGATAACCGACTATCCTATTCATGTAAGCGCCAAAGAGACGATACTGCTGAGGCTCCACTGCACTAGAGCTGTTGAAATTATTCCCTGTGTCACGTGGAGGAGAGCTCGGGTTGGTTGATTGATGGGATTTGGGACCTGGCTCATGGGTGTTGATTGGCACGCTTTTGGTCTGACCAGATCTATCTTCTTCGTTTGTTTGTGAATTCTGTTCTGATGGCTGGGACCTCCACGGACACAATTTGATATAGCCCTCTTCAAGCTGGGTAGCAAGATTTTCTTCACATGGTTTTAGGCTAGATCCATCCTGAATGAACCACGTTCCACGACGGACTTCATATACAGGGCCAATCCAATATGTAGGACTCAACTCTCGTTGTTCCACATCAACATTGAAAAGAAAGTCCTCATTCACGGGAACTGTGTTCAATACAGGTTCGCTGTCGGTGTCATCTGGCTGGTTTTGTTGGCGGGCATCTTCGATGTCTGAGAGTTTCTGAAACGTCGTTTCGATGGACTGGGAGTCTTTCCCTGGGAAAGGTATGAATTTCTTGGGTGATGGCAAGGGCTTTTCATCCACCTTCTTCTGTCCTACAATGGATGGTTTCCGTTTGGGCGAGTCCACCGCATAGAACCACCTAACTTTCAATGGAGGGCAATCGGGAGGATAGCGTCGCATGCTTAATCGATGCATGTGGGTCACCGTGTGGTCCTCCCCTTGCGATCGCTGCAGGACATCTGGGTTTTGGTGATCACCAGGCTGCAGTGTTGGGGTTGCACTTCTTGATGTACTCCATGGAGTGAGTGTCCCTAAGAACGACTTTTGCTCGGCACCCGCCATGGGGAGGAGCGCCCGCCGGAAGGCAGCGAACCGAACCAACGTGAGTAGCTGGATTGAGAACAGTGGAAGGGTGGGTGATACAAAAGATAGACAAGTTGAAAATAAAGGTAAAGAGAAATAAGAAATAGAGACGTGTCCAAAAGTCAAAATTCCGATAAGAGGGAGTTGCAATGCACGTTTTCCAATGTTTGGAGATCGGAAATGATGTAATCTCGGCATTTTTAGGTATGCGATTACGTCTATCACGTTATACCCGTCCACAAGTGGTCCCCCGGTATATATATACATCTGTACATCCATGGATATATATCAACATATTTGTTCGTTCTTAGCTTTGTAGTTATATATCTCTAATATGAACTAGATACATGTCCTCCATAAATGTAGGTATATAACCCGTGGACTCGTGTGTATCAAATTCAGCGTATATGTATGGCTTACCTCGGTCAATGGAGAATGGGCCTAGAACGGAGCATAGAAAGAGAAAATAAGCAAACTAGGCAGATGAGATATTTGAAAGTCAGAAGGGATTTTATATGAAAACGATTACGAAAATTACAAAAAATAATAATAATAAAATACATACAGAGTTCTCCGTACTACAAATGTAGATGTAAAGCGTCGACGTCATTCGAAAAATTTCCCGAATACGATAATACAAGAACACGGCAATACTGACATGATACTTATGCATCCATACAACAATACCTCTAGCGTGATGTACTCTGTATCGTCAACCAAGTACGGAGTACGGAGTACAACATACTTTCATTACGGCGTGGCTCATCCCCCCCCCCTCTCGGTTCGTGTATACCTGGCTGCCTTTCACCCTGCACTGCCCACCTTTTTAGCACGGATCGGATTTCTTCTGATCATTTGCTTTCCTTACCTCTTGACAATTGATCTATTCAGAGCGTAAACACTACTTCCTCCTTCTTTGTCGAAACCCAGCCTTTCCCTGGGTGATTACCCCACCTATTTTGCCCCAGGGTTGTGACTCGGACAAGATGAACGCCCTCAAGCTTCAGAAGTACGTTTCCTCGCCATTCAATGCAACCATATGCTGACCATTATGATTACTGTAGGCGTTTTCCGCAGCTTGATCAAGGCGAGATCTTTTCGCTCCAGGATGCATTCAACAGATTGGATGTGGAAGACCGTGGTTACCTTGATGAATCCACCGCGATCAAAGCTGCCCAGCAATCAGAACGTCAGCCGTATGATGTAGTGCGTGCAGCTTTGAAGGATGTGGAACTTGATAGCTCCCGGCGCGTGGAACTCGAAGATTATGTTGATGTAATACAACTCCCCCGCTTTCCTCTCTCATTTCGCTGGTATTAACGATACCGCAGCTCGTTTCGAAACTTCGGACAGCACCCACTGAAGGTGCCCGCGCAGCGACTACTCCCGCGGCCGTAATTCAAGGGGCCGGCGCTGGTACCGGAGCATCTCGGCATGTTTCCAAGGGCAGTGTGGGTGGACGAATCCATGTCCAGGGATCGTCTTCCAATGTCACACATACCATCAACGAAGACGAACGAACCGAGTTCACGCGACACATCAATGCCGTCCTAGCGGGTGATGCGGACGTTGGCAACCTCCTACCTTTCCCCACCGACACATTTGAGATGTTTGATAAGTGCAAGGATGGCTTGGTCCTGGCAAAGTTGATCAACGACAGCGTACCAGACACCATTGATGAGCGTGTTCTGAATAAGGCCGGGAAGAAGATCAAACAGTTGAACGCTTTCCACATGACCGAGAACAATAACATTGTTATCAACTCTGCCAAGGGTATCGGATGCTCAGTTGTTAACATTGGAAGCGGGGATATCATTGAAGTGCGCGAGCATCTCATCCTGGGTCTCATCTGGCAAATCATCCGCCGCGGTCTCCTCGGAAAGATTGATATCAAGCTCCACCCGGAGCTTTATAGGCTTTTGGATGAGGATGAAACTCTGGAGCAGTTCTTGCGCTTGCCCCCAGAGCAGATTCTCCTTCGTTGGTTCAACTACCATCTCAAGAATGCCAAGTGGGACAGACGGTATGCCTACCCCGATGGAGAAACAAAGAAAGACATGTGGCTAACTGATGTAGGGTGACAAATTTCTCTACCGATGTCAAGGATGGCGAGAACTACACTGTTCTCCTTAATCAATTGGCACCCGATGTTTGCTCGCGCGCCCCTCTCCAAACTCGAGACTTGCTTGAGCGGGCTGAGCAGGTCCTCCAGAACGCCGACTCGCTTGATTGCCGCAAGTTCCTGACCCCAACCTCATTGGTTGCCGGAAACCCCAAGCTGAACCTTGCCTTTGTCGCCAATCTGTTCAATACCCATCCAGGACTGGACCCGATCACCGAGGAGGAGAAGCTCGAAGTTGAAGACTTTGACGCTGAGGGTGAGCGAGAGGCCAGAGTCTTCACTCTGTGGTTGAATTCGTTGGATGTGCAGCCGGCAGTCAACTCCCTCTTCGATGACCTACGCGATGGCTCTATTTTGTTGCAGGCATACGACAAGGTCATTCCTGGAAGCGTGAATTGGAGACATGTCAACAAGCCCCCAGCGTCTGGTGGTGAATTGATGCGGTTCAAGGCCGTTGAAAATACCAATTATTCGATCGAGCTTGGTAAACTTAATGGTTTCTCTCTTGTCGGCGTTCAGGGCGCTGATATCACTGATGGCCAACGAACCCTCACTCTCGGACTGGTGTGGCAGCTGATGCGCCGTGATATCACCAACACACTCTCTGCGCTGGCCCAGAGGCTTGGCAAACGCGAAATTACCGATACTGAAATGATCCGCTGGGCCAATGACATGTCTAGCAGTGGCGGCAAGTCTTCCACGATACGCAGCTTCAAAGACAAGTCTATTGGATCAGGAATATTCCTCCTTGATGTGCTCAACGGCATGAAGAGCAGCTATGTGGATTACGATTTGGTCACGCCGGGTCGGACCGACGAAGAGGCATATGCAAACGCTAAGCTTTCTATCAGTATCGCTAGAAAGATGGGTGCCACCATCTGGTTGGTCCCAGAGGACATCTGTCAAGTTCGGTCTCGTTTGGTCACCACGTTCATTGGTAAGTTCATAATTTCTTCGGTATGGCAGCAATTCCAGTTTCTAACAAACGTTAGGTTCCCTTATGGCTACCCACGAGAAGATGTAAGAAATACAACAGTTCACTTTGGCCGATTGTTATGGCATTGCATACCTTTTTTCGTCACCTCCAATACATGTAACTCTGCCGCTTCTCAAGGCGAACCTAACCAAGTGTGGATTTCAATCAAAGTTTTATTGTTACCATGCTAAAATATCTGCCTCTCTGATTGATTAAAGGTACTGATCAAACCATGCGACTGCCTGCAAAAATGCAGACTCTTTGGCAAAGCGGATTGTCGGCTTAGTGATATCTGCGCGGACAGCAAACCCATGCTCAACGCCACTGAACAAGTTGATCTGGTACGGCTGGCCAGTTTTGGCCAAGATATCCTCGGATTCATGGCGCTTTGAGGCCGGGAAGATTGAGTCGGTTTCTATCAATATTCAGTCTAAGACGCTGTAGTCGGATCATATAATAACTTACCGGCCGCAGCAATGGACAGCGGGCCTTGGATCGCTTGTAATTCGTCTGCGTCGATGAAACTGGGGTGTGCCACATAGGCAACATCACAGAGACCTGGCTGGAGCAGCCGAACGGCATATTTTGCCTTTATTTGTCAACTCGGGCAGGAGTAAGACATGCATGAGGATTTGAACATACCCCAAAACAATATCCGACAGCACCGACCCGCTCGCAGCCCATGTTGGACTTCATTTCCTTTAGTATCGCCTGGACCACGGGTTCCACACGGCCTGGTAGATGACCCGGGGGGCCATTTAGCCAGGTCATCACGTCGAAGCTAGCGGGGCGGTTGTTCAACGGCACTGGATCACCGTGGAATAGGTCTGGCATGACGACCAAGTAACTATTTGCCGCTAGCTGGTCTGCAATAAGCTGTGCATTAATGAAGCGGTGGCCAATTACATCGGTGAGCAGTAGTATGGCACGCTTGGTAGAACGCTCTGGGCGTGAAATGTAGACCTCGACTAGGACTGTCAGCCAAATTGTAGTCTCTCCCCACAGAATCAGAATTATGAACCATCGCCAATTTGTTGAAGTTCACCCTTGGGTTCGCCTTCGTGTTTAACGCCGGTGGTGCAGCAGGCGGCTGGTGGATTGGATGCCATTTAGATACGATTGAAAGAGTTGATATGACAGTGTCTTGAGAGGAGGAAGCCCCGAGAGTATAAAGAGGGAGAGAAGATATATATACAAGGCGGAGGGGTATACAATATAAGGGTCCGTGCGCATCAAACCCGGCAAAGTAAATACGCGCATCTTTATGTCTCGAGAGTATGAACAATAAACGATATGTAGGTGCAATATAGCTCTCTAGCTATTGAGATGTGTTGTTTACAGATGTCTATCATCTTCATGGAGAGTGGCCTCGTGTCCAAGTCATTGCGAGCTGTAGCATATCAAGCATAAGGTATCCTTGAAGGAGTGACTATCTATGGATATCTAGGCACCGTATCCAGGTAAATCAGATGATTAGGTACAAGCTACATAACAAACTGGGCCCGGTAAAGATGCCCAGCCAAAAGACGATATTACCCAACAAACGGCGACCTCGCATCAGCCGAGTTCGGCTTAGCGCAACAAGTGGTAGTTGAGACATCTGAAGGATCAGTAAGTAGCCTCGGAGCCGCCGGAAAATGCACAGCATGAGCAGCTCATGTACACATGCAGATAAGAGAAAAGTGATGAGACTGGCAGAGACCCGCGATAAACGGTATTCGTTGATGGAGCCATGGTATACATGCCGGAACAAGAAGTTATGGACAGGACGGTTCCAATCGCGCGCGAACTGATCCCACGAAACCGAGTTCCACCAGTCGGAATAGAACCCTCGATCTGCAAACATGGTGATCTCCGCTACAGCATTGAGCTAGATGAAAATTAGCAATAAATCAGGGTAGCAGGTAGCCAAAGAGACTTACAACACATTCCCAGATCAAGTAGAATGCCAGTAGATACTCCATCATGAACGGGAAAAGCAAGTCACCGAGAACCCAGGGAAATTCCCGAAGTCTCTGCTGCGCGGTCATTCCCTCCTCTTTCATACGCACCGTGTCCATTACCACCGGGTATATCCACGACTGAGAGACTGCTATCATGACCACAATGATGCCGAATGTGGCCAATGTCTTTTCTGCGACATAGAGCCAGTCAATCCTTTTGGTCCGCGGGTATTCAAGCTCATAGACCAATGTGGGCAATGTCATGAAGTCGCAGATATTTCCTATTGTTAAGTTTTGAGGATAGTGATTGTTGGTCAGTGAACACCGGCCCTTTAATCCCTCCGATAAAACCTCGATCTCCTGTTCGAGCAGTTCTCTGAGGGATTTCACCTGGTTCGGTTCAAGTGGCACGCCGGTCTCGATCGTTCCAATAAGAGATATAAGCTGGTCGGTCTCATGGGACCGAGTATAGTTCTGGAGGTCAGAAGAGCGCCGACTAGAGTCCTTCTTCTTGAGGTCTGTGATCTCGGCATTGAGTTCTATATCAACTGCAGAAGAGTGCCCTCCTCTGGAAGAAGTAGCATGTCCTCTTTCTTTGGCTTTGGTTTGGCCAAGACTTGCTTTCAGCATATTTCGTTGGCGATACATTTCCGATACTGCCGTCGTTAGCTTCTGCCCATGACCGAACGGAAATTAACATACAGTAGCCATTGTAAGCTGCATAGCTGTGTTGCTTCATCAGCATGGCCAAGCAGTGCAACACGATAAAGACAGTGTGTGTCCATGGCCAATCGCGATGGTATGTCCACCATATAACGACTCCAAGGTACGTAGTTTGCCAGATCTGCATAGGTCAGTAATGTAACGGGGTTAAATGCATATTCTTTTGAGACCGACATTCTGAATGAGCCAACCGAGACCGTTCCAGCGGATGTATCCCTTGAGCACCACTCGTTGTAGTATCAGGCAGAACCCCGTAGACCAACAAAGGAGCAAGTCAGTCAGCCCGAGGACCATGACATCTTTATCCATCATGAGACGGATAATCTCATTCTTGCCCCATATGCTGCCATAGGTTCTCCAATTGTTGGCAGCAAGCCTGAACAGCATCAGGGTTACGCCCATCCAGAAGAGAACAAAAAAGCCATGGAACTGAGGGGCAGTAGTCCCCAGATTTTGAAAGGTACTCAGTTGCCGGGTGAATTTTAGGTCCTGAAACCTGAATTTCCGTTTTCCACCCTGATGTGAGAGATTGTGTTTGAGAATCTCTTGTAAAAGCTCGGCATCGTCTGTGGTGAGCAAGTATTGACCAGCTTCAGTGGTTGATTCTGGTTCTTTCATATCTTCCTCCATAATTATGGCATTATGGTAGATTTGTTTCAAAAGCTCAGGTTTTAGAGATCTGTTCTTTTGTTTTTGTTTTTGTTTTTGTTTTGGGTTCAATGCGGTAAATGCGGTAAATGGTTCTGTCCTTGGAGTATCCAGGGATATCAGTGATATGTAGGAGAGTAGAATTATATGTCAAACAGAAGTAAAAGCCAAGGTCCAAGGTCAAGTATCAAGTCCAAAGTAGAGAGATATCACTAACTACCCAACTCAGCTTCTGTGGTACCTGAAATTGTGCTTCTCCGCCTTAGCTCTCTGCCCCTGGAGGTTTGGTGTCTCTCTGTCTCTCTGTCTCTCTAACTATCTCCCTCTCCCTCTCCCTCTCTTCCTCTTCTTACCATCTCTTACCATCAATCCATTGACCCTTATTTGATTGAACAATGGATACATCACAAACACCCCATGTTCGGGTTCCTCGCGAAACCCCTGAGTCAACTGAAGAACCGAATGCGACTGCGACTGCGAACCACAATTCCACCGAGGTAGAGATGGGAGGAACACTAGACACAAGTCAACCTGACCCCAAACCCACCCAAGAAGATTCGACACTTCCAGATGTGCAGGCGGAGCCAGAGCCACCCGCTCCGGCAAAGAAGAACTCGAGCTTCAACTTCCTTAAGTGAGTATTCTTTTCCCACCTGCGATACAATTCCTTTCTCGGAATGGGTTCAACTTCCGTTATTCCAATCATTACTCACCAGCTCACAACAACTTGTAGCTTCCTGACTTCACCCATCGTTGAGATTATCGTTGGGAAAGGCGACAATGAAACCGTCATGACAGCTCATCAATCCCTCCTGATGGAGGCGCCACTACTAGCCGAGTTTGTTAAATATTTTGAAGCTTCAGGCCCGGTGAGTTCATTTCTTCATACCCGTTCCCACATTTATTTCTTACAACTAACCGGCTGTGATCAATAGCGACGCATTAATCTGCCAGAAGAGGACGTCGATGCCTTTAGTTGCTTCCTCCAATTCCAATATACGCGTGATTACACCGTGGTTCAAACGGAAACACCTGAGGAAACGGGCAAAGACAAAAGCCGTGACGAGTTGCTGAGCCATGCGCGCATCTACACCCTGGCTGAGAAGCTGGGCCTGCCATCGCTCCAGCGCATTGCCCATGGCAAGATTCATAAGGTTCAGAGCTCACCTAGCGCGGAGCTTTCATATGCTCGTTATGTTTACACTCATACACCAGCAAAAGACACCACCATTCGGAAGCCTGTGGCGACTTACTGGGCGAATCAAAGCCACGTGCTGCGCCAGGAGGTTGGGGATGACTTTAAGAGGCTGTGCATTGAAGTGCCGGAGTTTTCCTTTGATGTTTTGACTATCATTCTGGATCGCAAGCTGAAGAACGGACCGGGGGATGAGATCAAGGGAAGTGCGCGCAAGCGCAGAAGAGACATCTAGATATTGCCACTTGTACAATCACATATCCGAAGATCAACGATGTCTTCTTATCATAATTTGATATGAACGTCCCTGAACGGTCCAGGGACAAACTCTTGTTAATGGCTGCAGAGGGACTGATTTTTATAACGCCAGGCTCTCCACCTCCTCAATGATTTTCGGGGCCGTGGTCAGATTCTCAGATCCATCCTTGGTGATGTGGATGTTGTCTTCGATGCGCACTCCTCCCACACTCCAATACCTCTCCAAGATCTCGGTATCGATATACTTACCGGTCTCGGGGTCCTTTAAGACGGGATCGATGATGAAGCGACAAAAATAGATCTGGGAAATCATCAGAATTGGGGGCGCTGGAAAAGAGGAAACTCAAGGGGTGGTACTTACACCGGGCTCAACGGTGACCACAGAGCCAGCAGGCAGGTTAGCGCGAACACGCAGGTAGCGGAACATGGTATCCTTGTCCTCATAGTTGGGATTACCACCGGTATCATGGGTGTCCATTCCCAGGTAGTGACCGAGGCCATGGGGGAAGAAGGCCACGCTGACACGCTTCTCGAACAATTCGTCCTCGGATCCGCGCAGGATGCCCAGCTTCAACAATCCACGGATAGCAATGCGATGTGCCAGCGCGTGCACGTCATCCCAGCGCACGCCTTCCTTGAGCATGGCAATACATTCCGTCTGCATCTGGAGGACAATCTCGTAAATCTGACGGGTCTCAGGCGCGAACCGTCCATTCAGCGGAATCACACGCGTGATATCGGCGCAGTAAGTCTGGTATTCACCGCCAGCATCAATCAGAACATTATTCTTCCGCTTCTTAGTGATGGGGTCGACTAGGTCGACGTCGTTTCTAACATAGTGAAGAGTAGCACCCCCCTCACCTCCAGCAACGATGGGGTGGTAGGACTGCTCGCGACATCCGTTGGCAATGCAAGCGCCGATAATGGCAGCTTCAATCTCACGCTCGTTAGTCGCGGTCTTGGAGGCCTGAATAGCAGCAATGTGCGCTTTGGTAGAGATATCATTTGCCTTTCGCAAAAGCGCAACCTCGTACGCGTCTTTGATGACACGAGTTTCCTCGATGGCAGTCTTCAGGCTGGCAGTGTTTGTTTCAGCGAAGCCCTGGAAACTTGTGCTCTCTGAAACCTGTTCGGCGATTGCAAACGCAGCAGTTTGTCCATTGTGGTTCGAGGCGATTGACGCCAAAGTCGAATTCACATCGGTTGTAAACAGAACGCGGTCCACATCGTAGAGCTTGGCAGCCTCCTCGGGAGAGAGAGGAAGACCAGACCAAATGACTGACTCTGGGTCGATCGGTGGAATGAACAGAGTCAATTCATCTTTGACGGCATCGTATACCACGGCGGCATTGGGCAAAAGACATCCAGTGAGATAGAAGAAAGGACGACGTTGCCTAGACCAGGTTAGTGTTAGTCCGAATCCTATAGGTAGGAATGTTGCATTACCTAAATGGCATATCCTCATCGCTATCCTCGATCAATCGAGTTTTTTGAGCCTCAAGGTAGATAACTCCGGCCCCGCCATGCCGAGCCTTAAGAGACTCAGCGACACGAAGAGCATGGGCCTTAGCCGGATACTTGGCAGCGAGAATGGTATCCACAGTAGTCATATTGAATGAATAGTTGGGGAAGGGAAAAAGGGAAAAAAAAGGAAGAGAGAGAGAGAGAAGGAGAAAGGGAGAGCTGCCAGGTAATGTTTACTATCTCGGAGATGAGGTTACATTGGCGGGGCTTTGGAAATTGTGTGGTCCAGTCCTGGAGAGAGGGTCTGCTGTCAAAAAGAACACATTCACACCCGTGAAGATTCATACATCATATTATTGGGATTATTCAGATCATTCGGTTTCTTCAATCTATAGTTACCCCCCAGAGCTAGCTCTCGGAAGCAGATACATCTTCAAACTCCATCTCCCATTGATCCACTTCCGCAAACTTCTTGGCTGCCGCGCGCAACTCATCGCTCACGCAACGAGTGGCCTTTGTTTCCATAGATTCAGAATCAGAGACGTCGGACTCAGGTGGTGATGATAATGGAGAAGAGGATGGTGATGATAGAAGCGTTTCGTTTTCTTTATTGACACCACTCGCTTGAGAACGTGAATACGTAGCTGGTTCTTTTAGAACCGACGTTTTGTCCTTAATTTTCTTCTCTTTAATCTTCTTCTGCTTCGGATTGCGGGTGTTGGATAATGGTTTGGGCTTGCTTTTCCCTGCCCGTTGTCCGAACGATCTTTGTGATGGGTAGTTCAGCTCGTCCTCGTCACCAGATGCGGCATCATGCTGATCATCACTTTCGTCGCTGTAATCATTGATGGTGCGGAGTCTGCGCCGCCGACGTGGTAAAAGCTTGTCTTGTAGGTTTGCTGTCGATAGATGACTCGGGGCTTTGGACTTTTTCCTCGAAACAGGTCGCGGTGTGGAGTCACCAGGTGCAACGGAACCAGCAGGACTGCTAGCCGGTGGTAACATAGTCTGGCTCATTATTTCTGGATATTGTTGAGATTGTGGCGTAGCCTCAACTCTGTCAACCTCAACCTCCTCATCTCCAAGTTCTTCGTCTTCGGATTCAACCTCCTCATCGTCAGGAAGCTCGTCTCCAATGTCATGTCGAAAATCGTCGCGTTGAATTGGTGTCGCAGTGGGAGTATCTTCTACGATATCCACAGGCGACTGTGGTACTTGAATCTCTTGGGTCATGCGTTTGCGTTTGCGCGATCCGCCGGACGAGAGCGGTGATTCGGACGGTGATGGGGATGACTTCTCGGTTGGCTTGATAAGTAGTGACTTCCCCCGAGAGAGATTTAGTGGTGTTGATTCATCATTGGGGCTGAGTCCACCAAGGAAGTCATCATCATCAAGATCGGAAGAGCCATCGTCGTCGGCTTGCATCATCTGCAGGATGCTTTGTTGCCGGGGCCGCCGTCTGAAGTTGCTCAGAACCGAATTATCAAATCCAGGCGTTCCAGGAATCCGGGAGCTTGTATCGCCTTTGCGTCCGGCGAATGATAGCGTAGAAGAATAACCACGCGATCTTGTAGGGGGACGACTGCCGGTTCCAGGTCGACTGCCGGTTCCCGGCCGGTCCCCCGTGGGCGAAGATTCGATTGCTTGTTCGTGACTTTTTGTCAGGGGCGTCTGACTCCGTAGCGCCTGTCTCGGATCCAAGGTTGAGCCGCGCTCAGGCTGCACAGGCGATTTGGCGACATTGGAGTCAATTTGTTGCGTTGAGTCTTCTATCGCGGTTTTTTTGGGCTGAGTCTTGCCCACGGTACGACTTCGTTTAGGGGCAGGACGAGGCATGACTGGGCAAATTGATTTGAGGCAACGGAGTATGTTTATGGAGCCAAAATGGTTGCGCTACAAATGCGAAAAGAAGATCGACGCGTTTGTTTGGGACGCGTGCACGTGGACCACATGTGACATCAAACCCAACGAGTCTAACGTATAGATATTACTCCAACTGATATACCAATATGTCTATTTATATATCTATTGATATAGAATAGTTTGCTTGTGCTTTCATATTGTCTTGCATTCTCCTCTCCAATGCCGGAGTCCTAGGCTTGTATGCTTAACCTGCCACGGACTCACCCCCGTATCCAGTTAGGTCAACTATTATACAAGCACGAACACATGAAAGACTTGAATGGATTTCTATTAGCAGGCGGTATCGCATTCTAAATTAATGCCCATGCCCCAGATTCTCCAGATCATTTCTTGGATATCCTTCTCTTTGTCTCTGCTCATCTTCAAGTATGGTCTGATGCCCGTCATGCCGACCAACCCCTCGGTTTGGAGTGGAATGCAACGTTAGATACAACTGGACAGAATTTCAGCTTTGAACAATGGCTCTGCCCCCAGAAAATGAGACGGTAGACCCCATGGGGGACTATGCAGTTAGCGACACATCCATCGGCAAGAAAAAGCGCTCGAATACAGAAGCTGCTGAATATCCCCGCAGACGGGCGACAATAGCTGTAAGCGCCTCTGGCACAATTGACCAGGGCAGATTTGACTTTGATTCAGTGTCAGATATGCCGGCTACGCAAGACCCGATGCAATGGGGCTCGTCCCAAGTGTCAACTCTGCTCCGATTTGAATGCGGAATGTGTCTATCGAGAACCTGGTATTAAACTCGATGCCGGCGACAAGCTCATCCTTGATCATTTGGCCAGAATTGAGAGTTTGCTACATTCGAATTTACCAAACCAAGGGCCACTTTTAGCCCTATCCGCTACTTCCCCGGCCACCAGCAACGATACAAACCTCGGTAGCGACGATCCGTCAACAAAAACATCATCCAGCGGCTTTCCGGTCCATGGAAGATTGTCTGCTGTTGGGCTCGGCTCCTGGGTCAACCTACCTGCCAGTCTAAGCATCTCTACGATGCCTAAGATGCATACCACTCCTGCTCTTCATCTCCTCCAGTGGCCCCTTATTCGGGACTTGGTCTCTGGGGCCTGTGATCCACAACACCTTCTTCAATTGGAGATGGCTCGCGAACCATTGCGGCTGACTCCAAATTCAGGCTTCGATTTGACAAACGCATCCACGTATGCTCAGGCATTTTTCAACTATGGAAATGTCTGGTACGCCTGCGTGAACCCCTACACCTGGAATCGATATTATCAATCAGCTCTCGCGCAAGGATTCCAGGAAGGACCCATGAGCTGTCTTGTTCTGCTGGTTTTGGCCCTAGGAAGCGCTAGTCATAGCGGCAGTATCTCGTTTGTGTCGCCAGATCGTGAACCGCCGGGGCTTCCATATTTTGCCGCTGCGTGGAGCTTCCTACCGTCGGTCATGATGCGAAATACTGTGGTTGCGGCGCAGTGCATGGTCATGGCTTCTGCCTACCTATTCTATCTAGTACGACCCCTGGAAGCCTGGACCTTGCTATCCAGCGTGAGCATGAAATTGCAGTTGTTGTTTGGCAGTCCAAATCGAATCCCGACTCAGTGGAGAGAGCTGAGTGTGAGGGTATACTGGAATGCCTTGTTGTTTGAAAGCGATCTTCTCGCAGAATTAGACCTCCCACATTCTGGCATTGTCAACTTTGAAGAACTCGTGGATCTGCCAGGAGGGTTTGAGGAAGAAGATGAGGATGATGGAGAGGAGGAAGACGGGGATCATAACGAGGGCGAAGAACGCCGAATCGCCAGGAAATATCAGGGTTCGTCACGCCCGGTGGACTCTCAACTGGCTGTTCGGCGTGATGAACTCTGGTACTTCCTGGCAGAGATTGCGCTACGAAGACTCCTCAACCGGGTTAGCCACATCATTTACCAGAAAGACAGCACCCACACTCTCGCATCATTGGGTCCGATTGTCTCCGAGCTCGACTTTCAGCTCTCTCAGTGGTACGACAGTCTTCCTCGGCCCGTTCAATTCCCTTTGACTCCAAAGCCTCTTTCCAATCCGGTTCAAACGGTGCTGAGGCTTCGCTACAATGCATGCCGTACCATTATATACCGTCCATATATCTTGGCTGTTTTTGAGAATGAACAGGCTGGAGCGGACCCGGGAGTGAAAGAGTGTTGCCGGCGATGTTTGGATGCCACACTCCGCCAGCTAGAGCATGTAACCAGCCATCGCGAAGGCCACCTTCCATACCTGTGGCAGGGAGCCCTGTCGATGGTATCACAGACGTTACTGATAATGGGTGCCACGATGTCTCCTACCCTCTCTATCCTACTCCCTCCCGTCTCACAGATAGATGCGATCATTGCGGGTGTGGTAAATGAGGTAGAGAGGTATGCACACCTAGCACCTAGCCTGAAACTGTCAGCCGAGATTATTCGAGATGCAGAGAGACGACGACAGATTTGTCTTCGATCGGCCAATATGTGCCTCTGAACTGCACACTTCTGATGAGGGAGTTTGTGTTAGGCCTCAACTCATTGTTGAACGGCTGGACTGAATGATTTACTGGTTAAGGATGATAAAAGACCTTTTTATATAGAAATGCGAGCACAGTATGGTGCTTGTAAGTACCAAAAGAGTTGGATTGAAGGGGTGTGTATGTGTGTGTGATATGCATTAGGAGTGTGTCGTTAAAGCTCGCACTGAGGCAAAATCACCAAAACAAATAGTTTATATGAGCAAGAAACAAATAGCGTTAAGTACAATCCCTTATCATGTCAAGTATGTTCTTAAATCATCAAATAACTCACAGGTTAAAATCATGGTATCTCAAAAAGACGTGGGGAGATCAAATATGGACATCAGAAATATCAAAAGAGACGCAGGAGAACTCCAAGCCTCCACTGGCTCTGAAAGGGTGGGGGGCGGGGTGAATTATCGTATGGCTTCATATACATCCTAAACCAACACCCACTCGCTACCACGCTTGATGAACTTGTCGAGCATCAAGCCCACATCACCCAGTGCAAACCGGCAAATGTAAAAGCCAAAGAATTCAGCAGCATGGCGTGTGCTGAGTTCTAGACCAACGAGGGTTTTAGACGAATGTTTGAGTCCAGGGTCCTCAACCTGCTGGGCAATTTGTTCTGAGAATGGATTAGAATGGTGTTAAAGCATATAGACGAGAAAAGTCTTACCTAGTACTTGTGCAGCATCGAAAAGCCGCGCCAATGCTCCCATGTAGTTCGCGTTGGGCCCAGAGAATTCAAGCTGGGTAACATTGCGTTTCGCAGGTGTTCCATGTACGGATGTCATCGGGACAGAATTGAGGAGCAGAGTGTCCTTGTTACTATCTCGGGCACTTGGGACCGGAGTGGTTGTCCCGAGCCCGGAAGTTTTTGCGCGTAATCTTTTCCATGTCGAGTATGATTTGTTCGGCGCAACTTCTGGTTGAACGGGTTCGTCCGGCATGGAAGCGGGTTTAAACAATGGCATTGATGCTTGGACACCGACATCACTGCCCAATTTTTTGGTTAAGGTAGCTTGGACTTGGTCCAGTACAGTATCGAACGACTGCATCTCCTCCAAGACCGCATCTGCATCATATGTATCGACTTGGGCCAACTTGAGCAGGGCGGCGGTCAGCAGATCGCAGTTGGACACTTTCTCTTCGAGTGCCTTTAGTTTGACGTTTTTCACGCGCCAGACATCTCGAGGAATAAAGAGCTTCTCTGACAGATAGCCACCGTGAGGATGTGCGAGTGTCTGGTAGAGACATCTCATTAGCCAAAATGGACGGAGAAGGAAACCCTCCGGACATGGCTCGAGAGGAAGCGGGGCATTGGCCACCAACGAATTTGGACGGCCAAGAGCTGTGGGTGAGTGAATGTTGCTGCCAAATAGGTTTAATCCACCGCTTGGTAGTCCATTTTGATTAAAGCTAAAGTTGGCTAGGGTCGGCGTGGGTAAAACAGGAACGCCGCTAGTCGCGCCCCTTTGAGTGTCAGGGAATGCACCGCTCCACGGGGAGCTTGGGGATTCCGGGCACATGTCTGGGATCTGAATCGGAACAGAGGCATTCCGAGCTCGGAAAGGCTTTGTGTTAGAGTGGAGTTTGTTCAATCCATCTGGAGCCGAGGGGACTTTGCCCATGGGCCGCGCTGATAACGGCAGGGGTGGCAGTTCGTTCTCATCATCTTCATGAGTACGAGCTTTGGAGAGATTGACGTGATCCGTGAAAGAGCTTATCGACGGGTTGCGTTGTGTTGGGTGCAAAGTGGAACGGGACCCAAGAGCAGAAGCGTCGTCTTTCGGCAACGGTGGCGGGCGGTTTGCCAGTGAGGTCGCAGCATTTTCGAAGGCCGATGATGCATTGGAATTAGCGCGAGAGGAGCGGGTATTGGTCTCGATTTTAAGCTCGCGAGTGTGACTAGATAGTCTCCGGGCTCTCACTCCTGGACCGGTAGAAGAGGTGAGTGAGCCGATAGAACCAGCGCGGTTTGATATCGAGGCCCGCTTTGAAGGCGCCGGGAAGTCGGATGACGCTGGCAGGGGTGGCAAAGCCGAAGACGGAGGAGAAGAAGGCATGGTATATGGTTCGGGCCTCAGGTCGCCTAGTGGCAAGACATCATCCTCTGCAAGTGTAGACAGTGCACCCCTAGTGCTTACGGCATTGGACGTTGCGGAGCTTTCCCAGGTCCTCCCAGGCATGTTGCTAGAATCCGATTCTCGAGGGAGTGCCGACTTGGACTGAATCCCGAACTCAAAGTCGTCCATCACGTAGCCCTTGGTCATCTCTTCTAGCAAACGCTCCTCTTCCTCTGCCTCATCGTCCAGATATGCCGAAGTACGGGTAATAGGGTCATCCCCAAAGATTGTTTGTTCCTGGATCCGGCGCAGTTCACGATCACGATTCATTGCCTCTGCCTCCTGTTCTGCCTCACGCACTCTTTGTTTCGCCAATTGGATGTTCCTGCGAGCATTTGAAACGACATCATCGCTTTCGTCTTCTTTGTGCTCCGGCACCGGCTCCAGACCTTCATCATATGCAGCCTCCACGGCCGCATCGAGGGCCGCATCAAATTCAGCCTCGGTGTCATTACTGAGGCGGCGGCTTGTTCGGCGACGAAGGTACACCGATGACGCCTTGGAGTTTGCCGATGAGGGCGACGAAGCACCCGATTCATCAATTGTGTCCAACCATGAGGTGGATTCATTGTTGTCCTCCGGACTTCCCGCCAACAAAGTTACAGATCGGGGTTGATCTTCCAAGGCAGACGGTCTTAAGGATTGTCTCCGAGGGGGAACGGCTTCTAGGGAAACCCCCTTTGCCTCTTCCAGTGGGATCTGGTGGAACCCAAAACTGGAACGAGGCGAGCTCTGCTGGCTCCCAATATAGGATCCATCATTTGTCGAACGAAGCAATTCCCCATATGACTCCTGACTGAGGGGCCGATCTGGAAGAGCTTTGTCGTCGCTCTCTGAGAGAGGAAAGTCCATACGATGAAGTTCCGTGACCCGAAGCATATATGTGTCTCGAATTTCTTGAAGTTTGTGTTTCTCTTCGTCTCCCCCATTGCTACGAACCATGACAAGCTGTAGCAAGTTGCAAGCGTCGGTGTAAGCTTCCATGGCACCCTCGAAATTGGCAGCGTTATCAAGAAGAACTGCCGTATTTGCTTTCTGAAGTGCCTTTGACAGCATCACCTTTTGCGTCTGCCCATGTTGGATGGCCGCCGAGTCTCCTTCCCCGTCATCCATATAAATGGAACCCTCACTGGACCGAGACATTGGCATATCTGTTTGGATACTATGTGTTGAAGGCTGAAAAAGATGGCTTGAGGCGGCAAATGAGAGATCGAGTTGTTGTGATGTTGAGTCATGGTTGAATATGGCAGATCTCTCTAGCTCTGGCAGATCGTGCATCGGCAACCCATTTAGACCTTGCGCGCGTTGGGGGCTGTGGCTTCCCCGTCGACGGTTGTAACCTGACATGGACATTTTCGAGCTCCCTCGACGGTGATGACCCATGTATTCCGAGGGACTTTTACTAGATGCCGTTGACTGAGACCAGCGATTTAAACTGCCTAGCCCTTCTTTGATAGGGCTAGTCGCTCCCAGACCCTCCGGAGACAAGTTTGCCACATTCTCTGTGAGCACACCGAGGCCAGTGGGTATGACCGCACCTGGCGGCTTTACCATTCGAGTCCGAGAACTAGGCCGTGAGGAACGAGAGGAAGGCCGATTATGGGGCGGTCCAGACGGTGGTTCCGATGCAAAGGGGCCTGAAGGACGTCTGAGGTAGGATGAATTGGGATCATCATCGATTACTGTGTGGTGAATCATTTTCGCAAAACGGCGGAATAACGGTCGAAATATATCGAGTCTAGTCTGAAATTGCGTACCCTCGAGGCACTACGCGCGACGAGACAAGCACAATGGGAGAGAGAAATGGGTATATGCAACCAGGTGCTGTGTGTCTTCGCTCATTCTTCGCAAATTTGGGGTGTTGATGTGTTCGTATGTCTCATAGAGTATCCTTGGTTTTGAAAACCCCCTATCCGTCTCAATGCATGGCTTCGTAATCGGGAGGACTCGAAAGTTTTAAAACAATAGGCTGAATAACATTATTCAATTGACCTAGTGACCTAGAATGATCAGGAATCATGCGCATTTCAATGAAGATCAGTAACCAAACTCACAAATCGGGGTATTTTTTCTTTGCGTCAATCAAACTCGCAATATGCGCCTCAAATAACAAAGACCTATTGAATCTGTAAAAACGCAGACTAATAGTTATCACTTTTGGAGGTTCGTCAAGTTCGTGAGGGTCGTCAGGGGGGGGGGCTTGAACTACTTCAGGGGGGGGGGGATCCCGGGTTGCCGGGCGGTGGACGAATGGGAAAAAAAAGGGACCTCGGAAGAATATACGCTGAGCTTGAAAAGATTAGGAAAATGGAAGTAATAAAGAGGAGATTCTGGATTCTAAATTCTGGCTTTTGGAGTCTGAATTCTCAAGGGAGAGGAAAAGAAAAAGAAAAAAAAAAGGGGAGGAGACTTCTCCCTAGCGTAGGCCTATATACATACAGGGATAAAAGCTACAACAACAGTACGGAGTAAGGTTATTAGTTTTTAATACAGAGTACAGTAAAATTAAGAGATTTATATAATTTATATAAAAAACACTAGAATGTTGAAACTAGAAACCTAATTAATATACGTAATAATATAGATCTATCGAGATATAAGTATAAAAGAATATAAAAAGTCGAGATATAATCTGAGTCAAGTTGACGCTTAGAAACGGGAAAATGGGGAGATGGGGGAGATGGGAAGATATGGGAGGGGGGGAAAAAATTCACTGCAACCTCATGAATCCCACCTTTGGTCGTTCCTTTACTCGGAACTTGAATCCTTTCAACTCCGTATTACGTGCTTCTATCAAGGTGCAATTCAAACAATTCACCTCAATGCGAAATATGGCTATGGCTACT